CTATAGACTTTGTTAGATATTGTAAGTAAGGAGCAGCTATGTCCGGAATACTTCAATACATTTTTTCAATTGACTGATTTAAAGACACTAAAGAACTACCTGAACTGCAGAAGTGAACTCATCAAGTGCACGAATCCAACGGATGTGTCGAATCTTCTTTCAACACATTCTCTCTCTTCTAATTCTTGTTGTAAGCCCAGGAGCGCGCCATTCTCAGCAAAAGAACATATCTGATATGATTGCAAAGAGGCCCAAATTCTGAAAAATTAATAAATGAGCAGGCTAGCATTGTATGAAAAACCTTTGCACAGCTATCTCTTTACGAGCAATTGAAGCTAACAAGTGGAACAACGCTCCTTTAAGTACTAGTGGTACTGGAGCTGCTATAACACCCATTGCAGCATCCACTAGTGACCAACTTCGATCTTCCAAGAACATAGATGCAGCCTCAGAATCCTGAGAAAGTTCAATCATTCAAGTACTGGAGCTAGACACTTCTTACTAATTCCGCAATACATTTAGCTAGATTAATCCACGAAATGAGGCCAGCGAGATCTTGTGGAGGAATTACGGGCTGGGGAGCAGCAGCAAACTGATTTCTAAAGTTTTTGAAAGTTAACATGCCATCTTTAGAGCACGTACCCGAAATGTGGAGCAATTTGTTTATGTTCTCGGAATAATCGTTCATAAGACCGCAATGCACCCATTACTTGTTCCCATCCAAACATGGTATCTGAAAACTCATTAGAATTAGAGAAAGATAGTACTTCATACCATGGTGAGCTGGAACTCTAGCAAAAATATCGAAAAGAAAAGCTGCTGTAGCTTTCGATCTACAGACTGATCGTAAGAACTCTAGATAACCAACAGAATGAACTGCGTGACAAGCTATTCTTCCTCTTTCCATGAATCGACACAGTTCCATCTAGTATGAGAGACATAAAAAATCACAAGACAACTCATGCACACCGATCCAACACTGCTGTAACCAATACTCAAGTTGTGAATCATTGTTTTCACCGAATTCGAAACTTTCGGTGAATCCGCAAAACTATACAAATCAGTAATACATCCCAAAAAGGTGGAAAAATGACCATTTGGGGTAACCTGAAGAGAATTAAAAATTAAATCCTTCTAATTTCTTCCTGCCTGTTGCTGCTTTTCTGCCATTTGATCAACCCAATGAAGTTCGTCCTCGCTGTTTCTCTCAATTTCCATAAGCTAAACCAGTATGAAACAAAGAAAAGAGGAAAAAACGTACCTTAGCGGGGAAATGAGAAATTACTTGTTTGAATATAGTATCCACCAGTTTTACGTGAGCGGAGCAATTCTTGAAGGAGTCAGAACTAAAAGAAAAGAAGAGTATACCAAGATTCGTTGGCAGACTAACGCTAGAATTCCATATCGAACGAATTTCAAAGCAAGATTCTGAACTGCTCTGTCAACCAAACGATCTACATCTATATCAACATTAGCAATATCTGAATGATATATTTAATAATCAAGACTTTGGAACATATCGTACTCATATGATCAACAGTGTTCACAGCCATAGCTCTAATGGATATTCCACAAACTAATTGTATTGTTCCACAAACAGACTGATCTGACCACATTGTTTCATTTCTAATTTCGTTGATCATATCAGAGATAGTATGCTGAGCTGACGACGCTGGAATACATGATCTAGGATTTTAAGCAAAACTATAAGCTCACATTGGCTTAGAACATCGCTTGATGTCAACTTCACAAGTGAGCACCAAACTGATAAGTGAAATGGAGAAAACTTCTCAGCTACTGGTACAGCCTAAAAGTTTCATTTCATATCTGAAGAAAATGAGATTCAGCATACTTTGAGTATGGGATATAGTTCAGCTGCAAACTCCCGGTTCTTATCACAACCCCATTCACAAACGGAATACAATGCTTCACATGTTGATTCATTAATGTCTTCAATCAATGATCGCAACTGAAAATGAAATAGCAATAGTAATATATCTAAACCTTCACTTACCACTTGCTGATGCCTTGTTCCTCCCAGACCATTGACTTCAGGCTGTGATAACAACGTAAACTCAGACTGCACATTGAATTTTCCTTGTAGTTCTGAGTAAGAAGCATTGAAGGTTGAGAGTATTATGCGAAACGTACCTAACAAATGTTTAAAAACGCTAAGCTGGGCGAAATTATTTTCAATGAAAGCTTTGAGCTTTTCTGTCATTGAGAACTTATCCCAAGATAAAACAATCTAATCCAAAACGATTAAAGCGCAAATTCAATCTTCACTTACGCGGAGAACTTCGGCAAGAAAGCGATGCATATCATAATAACAAATAACGGCAACAAGACCACGGTTCAATCCTGAGAAATTGGCAAGCTGAGCTTCACCTTAAACGGGAACGATGTCAACTTTAACAAGGCATAGAAGAAATAACCTGATAGCACTAACTGCAACGCTTCCAGCTCATTTATATTGAAAATATCACTTATAATTTTAGTTTCTGCACAGATCAAATCATCAACTTGGAAAGAGGTACCATCAACCTAATAAAAAATAAGTTTCATCCAATAATAACTTAGTAAACCTTGATTTCTGCTTCAGTTTTAAGAACTGCTCGATCTTGGGCAGATTTTGGAGAATTTTTGCATATTTGTTGCAATCTTGATTTATAACGTTCTAATTCAATGAGAAGTGTCTCCACCGCTTCGTCATTATCAATATCCGTGAAACCTTGGACGAATTCCAGCAAACGATGCAATTCGAACCACATCTGAAACTTCAATTCAATGTCCCTATTCTATAGTTTGAAACATAACAGAAACAAATTAATCGTTGATTACAAAGTTGTCAAAGGGCTCTACCGAAATTCAAAAATTTGAATAATTTTTTATACGTGATTGCGTACTGATTTTTACCGTGCAAAATGTGCCATAGGATGGAAGTTTCAGATCGGCGTGGTTCATGGAAATTTGTATTGAATATTTTGAACTTCATAGTAATAGTTCTGAGAAGAATGGTTATGTATCGCTTCTGTTCAATCATTATAATATCAGTGATTCTTCGTTTTTGTTCTATTCAAAGCAAGTCATCAACACCACTTACCCTCGAGAATTCGAAACGGCTCTTGTTTTTCGTTGTTTTAAGATTTTGGGGCTCCACCTATATTTGATAGGAGTAAACCCGATTTTTGGTTTGAAAAAATGATAGTTAGAAGAGAGAAGATTCGACACATCCGTCGGATTCGTGCACTTGATGAGTTCACTTCTGCAGTTCCGGTAGTTCTTTAGTGTCTTTAAATCAGTCAATTGAAAATATTTATTGAAGTATTCCGGACATAGCTGCTCCTTACTTACAATATCTAACAAAGTCTATAGTTTCACAAATGGCTTCAAGATCTTATGAAGATGCG